AAATAGTTAAATACTGTAGATTTTGTGGGGCTGAACTTGGAGATGGAGCCGTTTTTTGTGATGAATGTGGTAAACCCACAGGTTTTGCATCAAATAATAAATTTAATATTGCTTCTAAATTAGGTTTTAAACCTAAGTTGAAATATTTATTGATTGTTATAATTATTATTGTAATTCTTGGTGTTATTATATCTGTAATGAATTCTTCTAATGATGAATATGTTGATACTAGTCAAAATATAACTCCAGGTACAGTTATTCCATTCCATGGTATTAAAATTGATACTTCAAGAAATTCACGTATTGATTCTATTATATTTTATCCTGCTTCTGAGAATAGTGAGGATTCATTAATGATGTTTTATCCTTTATTTAAAGATGGGGAGTATAAAGGGTCTGAAACTATAACTTTTGATTATCTTGATGACAGTAATGTTACTCAATCTAAAATTGACCAATTGAATAATCAGGGAATAGGTCATTATATTAAAGCTCCTCGTGGTGGTATGATTCATGTTGGTGTAACTCCTGATCGTTACCTTATTGATGATGCATTAGATTTGATTGTTGATTAATTAGTTATTGAGGTGAGTTAATGGTTAAATATTGTAATGAATGTGGTGCAGAAAATAAGGAGGAATCTAAGTTTTGTAAGGACTGTGGAATTCTTATTAAATCAGAAGATTCTCCTATTAAATCTGTTAATAATACTTCTAAAAAACATAAATCTTTAAGTTCTAAAAAACTTTTAATTTTATGTGTTGGTGTTATTCTTATTGTTGCAGCTTTATCAGGATATTTTTTATTTGTATATGATGATGCTACTACTTATGAATTTAATGATATAAGTTTTAAAGCTCATAATGAGAATATTGTATTAAATAGTACCTTATCTAAATCATATCTTGGTTTTAATTTTTATACTGGAAATGATACTGAGATTAGAGTGCTTAGTTTAGATAATTCTCTTCAAGGATCAATTGATTCTGCATATTCTAGTTTAAGCGGTTATTATAAGCATCCATCTGAAGTT